TTCTATTGTTGAAAAAATGGTTAAGGAAAGGGGGATAATGGTCTATGCACCTTCCATAATGTTGATAACTCATCTATGGAATGGATGGCTCAGATCTCTCAACCCACAAGTCACCCTTGATCGATGGTCTATGTTTAATCTCATAAGAAGAGGTAAGCCAAGAAAACCCTAAAAAACTCTAATCTTGTTCAAGCTTATAAAAAAGGGATTGTCTCTACTCAAAATCTCTACACCTTATCTTTCTATCTCTCTCTTAAGAAAGTTTCTCTTTCTCATGTTTGATCTCTCTCCCACATTGTGAAAGAACCTAAGGGTTTAGGTTATAGAGTTCTTCTCTCTTCTATATCTCAAATATGGATTTATGGCTAAGAGTTTTAGAGTTTAGCAAAAAGAGAATCAATTTATCTCAAATTAGGTTGTTAAGATAATTCATCTAGGGTTTGAGTTTGTGATCAAAAGGGTTCATGTTCTATTGGTGTGGTTTGGCCGAAATTTGTTTTCTTGGTTCGAGATTGAAGCTAGACCGTTGATCCCGCGCCATCGGATGGTGGTAACTCGATATGGGGTGTAATAAGTCCAATTGAGGTAATCTCTAACATTCTTCATTTTGTTTCTTGCAATCTTATCTTTTATTCTCAAACATAGTGCATAGTTGTTTCAATGGCATCAAGTTGTTAAGATCTTGGTTTTATTGTTATGTTGATTTTATTTTGAATTTTATCTTATTATAATAAAGACCACATGTAATTGATCTTTTACAAAAAGAAAGGGGTGAAGAAAAAAAAAAAACAAAAAACAAAACATGTATTCACTGGTAAAATATCACATAGGTCTTTCTTTCAATCTGTACATCACACACATGCACACACACGTATGGGCGTACAGTTGTTTGAGAGAGGGTTCTCGAGCCGAGTCCTCGAGATGGCGAAAACCAGGACCAAATAGCGTTATATAAAGGAAAACATTTATAGAAGGTTGCAACAAAATATAGAATTAAGGTGCACCTTAAAAATCAATCATAAATGGTTATTTTGATGTTGGAAAACCTTCTAATTGATCATCTTAAAAGAGTGCATGTTGCAACACGTTATCTAGCCCGTCCATTTTCAAGATTTTCATGTATTTATAGATATACTTGATTTGAACCGTTTTAGAGTTTAAAATTTTATAATTAGATATAAAAATAGATTCTTGAGCCATCCAAGGAACTTTTTGATACCAAAATTACATTTATGGTAAAATTCGAAGGTGCTCTTTAATTTGATAGTTTAAAGTTGCAACATTATGTGAACCACACCCTTATCTAATTAGTATAACTATAAATATATAATTGTATTTATTTAAATATTATTTCAATATCATATATTTGAAATAATATTTAAATATCAAAGTTATTTAGATCACATCTGAATCGGATCTACATGAACTTGGATCCAAAAAGTGTTTGGATCTAATATTTGGACCTGGACCTGACCTATCGGGTCCAAATTTTGGACCAATACCCAGATCCAGGTCGGGCGTATCCATCGGATCCGAGTCCATTGCCACCCCCTATTGATTGGTTTTGAATCGTGTATTCCTAGTGGAGTAAAGTAGCGTTGCTATTTCAAAAATCAGATAGGAGAAGAGCTATTTTTTAAAAAAATAAGAAAAGAGCTATCTGACGTTTGAAATACGAGAAAACACTATTGGGGTTTCCTCATATGGGGCGAAACTATAGAAGAAGAAGGTTTCTGTTGGCAAGAAAAATTACGGCAAAAAATGGTTGAGATTTGGGGGAAAAAGAGTGGCAAAAAAGAACAGCTATTGGAAAATGGCCCCCCAAAAACGAATAAAAGCATGGCTTTTTCTGCTTGAAGTTTGGGAAGTCAAAATTATGCTGGAAACCAATGCTGAAAGATGTAGAAAATTGGGTTCCCATTGGAATATGGTGGCAATTCCGGTTATTTTCTCACCAGAAATATGAATGGGTCTATTTTCCCCAAAAATCAGCCCCAAAATCAATCAATAAAATCAATCAATAGGTCTATTTTTTCAAAAATCAGCCCAAAAAATCAGCTCCAAATCAGTTGCGTACTCATCCCAACCAAGTTTCATAAAAAAACTCATCCGCAATCATCCCCATAGTCTCTAACCATCCCCATAGTCTCTAACCAGGAGATAAAACCCCATTAAATAGGAAGGAGGTGGTACTCGTAATTTCAGACAAATAAAATACAAACACAGACATCCTCAACGAGGGAGCACTACAACTCTCTGTATCGAACGAAGAGGGGAAGCAACACAAAGGTAGGTCTGAAATGTAAAAAAAATGTCTCAGTGACGCTTCAAGAAATCGATGAGTGGCTCGTAAACAACTTGCTTGGCATTGACGGACAAAATGAAGTCAACATGCGCGTAGTTGTCCACAAATTGGATGGTGATCTTGTCCTTGTCATGAGAATCGAGATGGGCGATCAGCAAATTCACATCCTCCACATCAGAGAGAGCGTCGTATCCACCGTGGCTAAAGAAGAGGGGGAGATCCCTTGGTATATTGGACATGTTGTACTTGGGAGGCGTGCTCTGGGAGTAGTGAATCATGTTCTCGTTAGGGTTTCCATAGTCATACTTGGCTACATCCCCATTCTTAATCACTGCAAGTCAAGAAGACAATCCAAGACCCCATGTTAAAGGGTTGCTCTTTTAGAGCATTGAAAATTATCGGTTGCCAACAACCAGCAAATAACCACATTTTAGAGAGAAATATAGATAAGAATTCAGCAAGAAGAAGATATAAACATAAGGATATGAGACTTCCTCCATGCACTAAGAGAAGAAGAAAAGAAGAACAAGAGCCAAGCTCCTATCTCTTTACAATATAACTTTACTTTTCCATTCATAAAAACACTGCATCAGATATCTTTGTTTCTTGTGAAAATCCGTTTTGAGGGGTCTAGGAAAGTTTGTTCTTGAAAGAGCTTATATATCAACCCAAGAGATAGCTTTCACACTTAGGTCATGTTTTTTCATAAAGTGGTCGCTGTGTATTTTTCATGCCAATTGGCAGCCAATTTTTGTGAAAAAGCTCACACATGTAATCATATGGGGGAGTTCTTTCATATGAAAATACTTTCACAAAACTATTTTTATGCATAGCTAGAGTGCCCAAGTAGGTATAGAGATGCTTTCTTACAAACATGATTTTTCTCTTTCTCTGAGCAATCACATGACCATTTCGAATTGGTTTGCGACCTACTTGCAATCGAGATTTATAAAACAAAGGTGCATGATGCACTCTTTTTATGAATGGAAAAATAAAGTTATATTGTGAGGAGAGAGAGCTTCGCTCTTGTTCTTACACAATGGTTCCTGAAGGAGTCCCACTTTCCACATTCCTGTACATGCTAGTATGAGATAGTTCATTGTAATATGCTCACAAGCATTCTGGTTGCTCTTGATGGCCTTTCTATCTCCCATCTTCAGTATGCTGATGATACTCTTTTGGTGGCTGAAGGACACTTCTCCCAAATCAGAAACCTATGGATTTTCCTTAAATGCTTTGAAGTCCTTTCTGGTGCTAAGGTGAATATGCACAAAACTTCCCTTATAGGCATTAACTATTCAGAAGAAGAGATTTAGGCTTGGGCCTCTTGGCTGGGCTGCAAAGTTGATTCCTTGATTCCTTGCCCATTAACTACCTTGGTATTCCTCTTTCATATGGGTGCCTTTTCCATTGCTCAATGGACCCCTGTCATTGATAGATTCTAATTTAAACTTGATGCCTAGAAGTGCAGGTTTCTATCTCTAGGAAGAAGAGTCACCCTCATAAATGCCACTATGGCAAATATGCCCATCTACTTCTTTGCTCTCCTTAGAGCTCGACATGCAATTATTAAAAACCTTGAGAGAATGATGATGAACTTCTTATGGAGTGGAACGCAAAACAAGAAAAAAATTTCATTTGGTTAGATGGCAAATTGTTTGTATGCTAAAAAAAGAAGGTGGATTGGGTATCTGGAGGCTCATACCAGTTAATGAGGCTTTACTCACTAAATGGCGGTGGTCACTAAATGGCGGTGGAGGGCCTCATGCTCTCATGGACAATTATGGTTACAAGTTATTATTGCCAAATATGGGTGGGACCATAGCAGCATGATTCTTAAAAAGCTCATAACAAATAGGTATGCTTCTGCAGTATGGGAAGGATATCTTCTGTTAGACTCTTGTTCTTAGCCTACTGTCGACTTCTTGTTGGCAATGGTTCAAAAACCCAGTTCTGGCATGCCAAGTGTCCAGGTGATAACCCTTTAAAATCCCAGTACCCTAACTTAGTTCTTAAATGCATCCCTAAAAACCTTCTCATTAGCGATGGTTTAGAAAGGCAAGGGGAGAATATCACTTGGAATTTGATGCTCTCTTCAAGAAGGGTTGGCTCTGAAGTGGAACAACGATATATTCAACTTATGTCTAGGCTTTATGATTTGTGCCTTCCCATTCCAGGGATGACAAGGTCATTTGGGAGATGGAACCTTCAGGTGTTTTTACAGTTAAATCCCTCTACAATATCCTATGGTTGGACAAATTCATTCCTGCTAACAACTTTTCCAGAAAGGTTTGGTCTTACAAACCCCTTTCAGGGTGAGAGCATTTTTGTGGCTGGTTAGTTGGGGGCATATCCTCACCGTGGATCAACTTTGAATTAGGGATATTCCAATTGTCAATGTTTGGATATTTTGTAAGCAGGATGGTGAGTTAGTGGATCACCTCTTTCTGCACTGCCCTTTACTGAAACAATATTGAGGGCTTATTTCCTAATGCCTGGTGCCCCTTTTCTTCTTGTGGTCTAGTTCTTTGGCGTATTAATGTTGCTGCTATCCTTTGGACCATTTGGAAAAAGAGAAATGCTCGATGCTTTGAAGGAAAGGCTAGATAGTTTGCTCTATTCTTATGACTACGATAGAATGGGCCCAAGCACACATGTCCTTCAAGCACTTCCTAAAAGAGTTTTTCGACTCTAACTTCCATATTCTCCTGACGGACCTTGAAGAAAAAGAAATTTGTTAAGGAAAGCAGGTGGTTCCCCGTACCTCCAGGCTGGGTTAAACTTAACTTCGATGGCAGTGTTGGGGACGAGGGGAGGATTGCTAGTTATGGGGCCCTGCTTCGGGATTGTTTCGGTAACATCATATTCTGCAAATGAGGCTGAGTTTTGGGCTCTCTGCCATGGAACCAGTAAACTTGATAACTCTTGTAAGAAGACCCTTATTGAAGGAGATTTCCTCATTGTTATCAACTGGTGCTGGAACCATACCTCTACCCCTTTGGCAAGGGACCTACCTTTGGAACCGAATAGATAGAAGCTTACGTGGGAAGGAGGTATCTTTTATTCATATCCATAGAGAAGGAATGGAAGTGCTGACGCCATTGCCAGAGGACTAGGGCAGTTTTAGGGCTTTTTTTGTCTTTTCTTTGCTTTCCTTTTTTGTTTTTGTTTCTTGTAATTCTTTATCCCATCAATGAAAAGTTACCGTTCAATGTTCAAAAAAAATAAATAAAAGGCAAGACCATTTCTGTTGTTCAACTCCCAAGGGCCGTAGTGAGTTGCGAGAGAAATCTCGATGAGGGAGAGACAAAGTCTAGCTAGAAACTGGCCTTTCATGGAGAGAGCGATTGTGCATGTGTATGAGAGGTAGGAAGTTTCTAGAAAAATTAGCTAACAGGGTGACCGATGGAAAGCTTTCAATAGAAATGAGCTAGTGGCGTATGTAAGGGGGAGAGAAAGATCAGAGAACACATGTAAAACATATTTCAGCAAAAACTGGACTCTTGAGAAAGAGATTGATGCTTAGTAGAGAGTGAGAGAGCTGTTACAGTTCCAAAAAAAGAGGGATTTTACAAAAAAATTGGATGGTGGGATGTAGAGACTATAGAGAGAGAGAGAGAGAGAGAGAGATATATAGGAGACTCACTTTGGGCAAGGTGCACCATGTTCCTTGTTGAAGTAGACTGAGGCTCATACTGTAGGAAAAGCTCTATGGTGGAGGAATTGAGGCAGCAGTTCTTCCCTGTTGAAATTTTCCGAGTAAGCTTCATAAGAAAAAATATGGCAACAGAATCTTCCTTTGAGAGTATATTTATCGCTTGGCATTTTTTTTTTTTTCTTTTAGAGAGCTGTCTAATATTTTGCTCATGATATTACCTGTGATGGCACTGACCATGTTGAAGCAGTCGATATGGGGATTCATGCATACACCCTTGACGAGGGCTTTCAAGGCTGGCCTGAGTTGGCGGAACATGCAATTACACAAACCAAGGAGTTACTACTAATACAATACTAACTAGTTTCTCTTTTTCACTTAAGGAAAGTAAATTATGATCCTAAGGACTACTTAGAAAACAATCCTTAAGGTCAATCACATTCCATAAAAATGATGGACGAATGGATGGAGTTGCCGATTAATTCATCTGCTATTGTTATAACAAGGTCAATCACTCCTAGCCGTTAGATATCAAATTGGATGGGTTAGGGTATGTCACAATGTTCGAGAATATGTTTTTGAACTTTAGGTTTCGTTAATGACAACCTACAAATACTCGATTCAAAATTTGATGGACAAGAGTATTTGTTTCTCGTTATTAAAAGTAATGGGCTCCTAACAACTTTTTTTGTTCTCCTTGGATTATGGTGAGTTTTCCATTTCAAAATAGGAAAATTATGCTTAGAGTGGTCACCATCTATGGACATCAATAAAGCCAAATTAAGAATTTCACCCTGAAATTCTTAATTTGAATTATCGTTGTGTTTGGATACCAACATGAGAATCATAGAGAATGCCCAAATTTGACATATTCAAGGTTTGTGAGCCTTTGGTAACTTGAACCACTTAAATTATTTGAGCTGAGTGATCTAAGCATTCCCTGTTCTTTACCTAGAACATGTTTTTTCCATTAAAAGATCATGTTCTTGGTTTGAAAACCAGAGCAAGTGGGGGCATTTCAGTCACCCAAGTGGTAACATGTAAGCACTTGAGCTTGCTTGTGGTTCCAAACATGTAATACGGTTTTCTAATAAAAAAATAAAATAATTTGGGCTTTAAAACTGGAACAAGCAAAGGTACTTGCGTCATTTGGCTCGAGTGAGTTAAATGACCAAATTAACAAATGTGTTGGCTGTTTTAAACATGAATGTACTTACAATGCAATATTGAACTCTGCAATCCCCATCCATATTGCGAGCTGAAAAAAAAAAAGAAAGAAGAAGAAGAAATAAAAGTTAGTAACTCAAATCTAGGATTCTATGCATACATTTTTACATGTAGTCGGTGTTTATGTGTGCTTTTAACAAGCTCTTTATAGATACTAGCATTTGGAGTTGAGGGTGAACGAGTGTATTCTTACTTGACCAAGCATGGTTCTGGAAGCGATTAGGACCAAAGGGGTTGTCATATGACTCAAATAAGCGATTGGGCTCAGAAAAGCGGCCGATCTTGTGAGATTCGCTGCCTTCCCTTGAGAGAAGGAGGCCAAGGCAATAAGAGTACCAAGAGAGTGACCCACATAGTTCACCTTCTTCCCTGTTTGATTGTTTACATACTCGAACAATGCCGGTATGTCATATTCTGCGAGCTCATCCCATGACCAAGCCCAAAAGCCCTAGATAAATGAAACCCAACTCAATAAGCCAGTAATACAACTCTCTCTCTCTTTGAGTTAGGGAACAAACCGGATCAGAGGGGTCCAAGGTTGTGTGCTTGCGGCTCCATTTGGTTCCTCGGGTGTTTGAAATCCACACATCAAACCCATTATCGGCCAAGACAAATGCCAGAGACTCTCCAGGAGGACTTATAAGCCATGAAACTCCATCCTATAAAACAACATTACAAACGATAGGGCATATACCCTTATAAATCTATTCAACTTTTAAATTCATCTAGTAGGGTAGTTTAAGTTCATCATTAAAGTTGTATTATCCTACATAATTATCACACGTAAATATATACGGAAAACTATTTACTTATAATATAAGGTCACAATTAGGTGCCTGTGAAAATATTATTGGCTAGGTTCTATAAAGTCGCAATTAGGGGGCTGTGAAAATATTATTGATTAGGTTCAAATTTCAAAGAAAAATTTCTTGAAGTTTGTGACACACCCTGAGTTGGTCAATTTGGAATCGGATAGCAAGGTGTTTGTGACCTCCTTCTAACAAAGCGAAATTGTCTCGTAGTGTGTGTATGCACATGTATGTTTGTAGTTGATAAAAGGTTACAACGTTTATATA